CAGAACATGGTAACTTGGTTATGTCAACTATCATTGCAGTTCATTATAACAATAATAATTCCCTCATGTTATGTTATGGAATACCAGCAATGATGTATTCAAACTTAAACTTAACTTGTATCTCCAATAAATCCCTCTATACAGTACATACAATACAAAATAGTTCGGTTCTTACCTAGTTCTATTAACATTGTGATATTAGGATCAGTGATGTATTTAGAAAATGGTTGCTTGTATCCTCTTCCTACATCTTTCCATTCAGCTGCTCCTTCCCCACCCACTACCACCAACCACACACAGTCTGGACTCATCATTATTGATGATAAGGAATGATTCTGTCTACCAGTAACAGATTCAGGTAGAACAATCTGTTGAAATAATACATGTATGGTAATATTTTATCATGTAAACAGTATTTACAATATGCTACAAATATTCAAGGGAATATACATGTACATGCATTAGGTACATGTACTGTACATGCACACAGTGAGCATTTCTAAGGTATTAATACAATACAATACATTAACATGACAACTACTGTACAATCACTGTATCACACACATGTACACTCTAAACTAATAACATTATACACATACCTTACTCCACTGGTACTCACTAGTATTCAGTAACCAACTATCATTTACTAGTTGATTATCATTACCCTCTCCACCTATCATTACTAGTGTAGGTGAGTCACTGATGATACTAGTAGCAGCATGAGAATCTCTCTCCACAGGCCACTGTACACTAGCAGGTACTACTGGTCCCTTAACACTCTCCCAGTGCTAGATAAAATGAATTAATCAATATTATAAAATGTATTAATGCATGTACACTGTTCTATTATACTTAAGAGTTTGTCCATTTAAAAATACAAAATGTACAAATGTACATTTTGTACATTTTCCATGCAAATAAATTATTAAACCAGATCTACATGTACATACAATATGATTTATTGGCGAGAGTAATAATTGGCAATTTTGCCTGTCGAAAGTTAATTGGCAAATTTTATATCAGCAATTTTGTGCCATGTGCCATTGAGCATGCTTAGTTTGAAACAAAATGGCAGATTTAGTATTGGCGATTTCTTCATAGAACCGCCAATCATCAATGTTAATTCTTTGCCAATAAATCATCCTGTATGCACTGTATATAAATGCATTTTTCAAATTACAAGCTATACCCGTATGTACATGTATTAATGTCCAAACATGATTGATCCATGCAATAAATACATCCCATACAGTAATAAGATAACTTACTATTGTAGTATCAGACTCCAGTTGACATGTATACACTGTATTAACAGCTCTATCACTTCTACCATCATCACTAGGCACTGCTCCACCAAACATGACAGCTTTATTATTAGTAATCTTTTGAATAGCAAAGTCAGCAGTAGGAGGACAACACTGACCACTAATAGTTGGAATAATCCATTGTCCTAAATAGAAATAGATAGTATAATTAGAATTATTAAGCATGACGCTGCAAATATCATGTAGTAATTTGATGACTAGCACCTTGATAAAACACGACCAATTCAAATTTTTCATTTTGTTTCCCTTGGCACAGATACATGTCAGTTGTGGCTCAATATGACAACATTTGACAATATCATTCATAAATGGAGTAAAATGATTATTAGAGTTCAGTAAACTAAATGAATGAATCAATGACAGACAACCAGACTACCTAGTCCCTCACCCACACAAAGCATTGGTGAGGGATGTTAATCAATAAATTTAATTAGACCATGTGGACAAATTATTAATAGGTGGAGTAGGATGCATCCATGCTTGAAGGCTTCATTTTGAATTTTGTATTTTTACTTTTATGTAGCTGATGTAACTCAAAATTAGTTAGTCAAATCAACTGTCTCTTCATACAATGATGGCTCATGCTCACTCCTTCAATGTTTACATGCACCTACTTAATATGCAAATGGTAACAAAAATAATGATTGAAAAATATGTCATCACAAGCAGAGTATAGATTGTTAATATATGTATTAATTAATAAATACTTACTTGTTGATAAATTTAATAAATTCTGTTCATTAGTACGAATACGACGACTAACCATCTGAATATACTGATATTGTGATTGGTATGTAGTGGGTGTAGAACCAGTCCCTCCTATCATAAATAGGTATTCTGTACCCATAGACTCCATACACACCATACCACCAGCAGCTCTCTTCATTACAGCATCACTGGTTGGTATTATATTACTCCATTCATATGTTAGACTGTTAAATGAATTGACATCATTATAATAGCAGATGTCATGTCCACAGTAGCCGCCAAAAAAGAAAATGTCATTGTTTCTGGTAGTACAGAAGTATCCCACAGCTCCTAGAGGAGGTGACGTTCCTCTGGTCACGTGAGAGGACCAACGACCAGTCCTAAACTCCAGTCTATCAATAGTGGACAACAATTTCCTCTTTTGTGGGGAATCATGAACCGCTCTAGGTAAGTTAGGCCTACCCCCTCCCCACAGGAACACTGATTCTCCTACTACAGGAGCTGAGTGATTTGATATCCCTCCCAGTTGATAGATACCTGTAAAATACAAACATGATGAGAAAGAGGAGGAAGAAAACAGAAACTCACCTTTAGACATTGTTTGTCAAGAATGTTAATTAACTAGCCACACCCATAATAACAATATTCATTACTCATAATCACCCACACCCATGTCACCTTCTAAATTAAATCCAATCACTGCCAACATTATAACAATAAGTACAGTAATTATTAGTTGGTTGTATGTCAAGGAATACATCAGGTTAAAACATGTCTTCTTTGCTTGCTGATGAGGTGATGGTCCTGCTATTGAATGCATTGGAATATATTCTTCTTAGTGAGTTAGTGGTGAGTCCAATTAATAATAATTGGTAGTTGGTACTCTCTTGGTGATTATGATAAAAGGTACTTGAGCTAGTACTTACAAGAAATGTACTCACAAACTAACCCTCAGCTATAATAGTAATACAAGATATTACAATCAAAAGAATTCAAGTTTTATTATTATTATTATTATTAATGTTAATGCATTATAGCAAACATGACAAACAATATCTTAACTGGAATTATTAGAGATTTTATATTACATGAGAGTTTTGTAGTCAGTACTTGTAACTGGAATGGCTTAGCATTTGATATTAGCATATCCTGATAGAAACCAGGTACAAAACAATGTCACTGCAAACAAT